TGGAGTGGAGTGGAGTGGAGTGGAGTGGAGTGGAGTGGAGTGGAGTGAGGAGGACGGGATGCAGAGTAAAAGTAAGAACTCCACACAAGATGTGGGGAGCACAAGGAAGAACATTTCGCTTGTAGAATCCTGGGGTGGGTGGTTCTCCGAAAATCTTTGCACAACACTTTGGACACTGAGAACTGGGGTCTCCAAGGAATCCTTGAACCCAACCTCTTCCGAAGGCTGCAGTTCTCAGGCGTCCTGATCGATTTCTTTAGGCCCCTCAAAAACCGAACCCTATTACCACTATACTATACACGACTACAGGGTTTCGTTCAGTCTATGGTTTTCTGGAACCACTGAGGTGACCTACGAACTCATGTGCTTTGCCTGAATACGCTGGGATCGGTTTGAAGATGTTTGAGGGTCTTTTTCTTCTCCCCAGCCAGGAGGCTTCTTCTCTTCTTTCCTGTGCTGCATCACCTGACCCTTCACCCACGAGTCAAAGAGGAGTACACTTGGTGTTCGCCCGGAAGAACATGGCCGCTTGGACTCGGGTACGCAGAGGTACTCTCAGAGGTATATGAGATGTATGAAAGTTGATGGCGGGTTTCAGGATTGAAGCTGTCCCCTGGGATCAGAGAGCGACCTGGGGCAGCGCAGCGCAGCTGTGCAGCTTTCGCCATCGCTAGTAGCTTGTCTCCAGCATGTGCGACGATTTGATCTCTATGCAAAGATCGGAAGGAGTTGGCAGTTGGCCAACCTCTACCTGCAAGGACTATCTGAATTCTGACAATACTTGGAGAGATGCCTGCTCCAGCTCCCTGCGTCAGTTTCATGGCAAAACCTGTCCTTGTTTAGGGGTATCCCCTCAATCCACCCCAAAGTGTTGCAGCTAATCCACGTACTTACTGGGTAGGATCCCATGACACATGGGCGTTGCGAACCCACGCTTTCGCCCATTCGCGCGTGCTGCCTTCAAGAGCTCTTTGGCGCGGCCGTTGCAGTAGTAAGGATCATAGACCTCAGCTTGGCACGAACTCATCGCGCGGGGAGTGCGGGGCTGCGGAGTGCAGGTGGACCAGTTCTTTCATGTTGGAGCCTTTTTAGAACCTTTCTTTTCGCCCTTGAAGTCCAAATAGGAGACAGCAAACTTCGACACTTTCTTCAGTTGCTTCCAGTCAACCTGTCTCACCCGTCTCACGCCTCAGACACCCGAACCTCACCGTGTCCCCCGTCCCACGGGACCACCGGCCGTGTCACGGCGGGACCAGTGACGGTTCGGTGGCGAAGACCAACACCCAGGGCAATACGTGACGAGTCAAACCCCCATGATGAGTCATCGCCCAGCCTTTGAATGGTGAATCTGCTGGGAAGGAGAGCATGTTCTTGGATTTGGGTACCATATTCAATCCCTGTCAAGAAAACTCTGGCCATCTCTTGCCTGAAACTCTTGCCTGACTATTCTGAAGTTCCATCCTGGGCGGTGGACCACGGATGTCAAGATCCATCAACATCCCACGAATTTCAGGGGTTGAATTGAAACCCAAGCGCGACAAATGGAATAACTATATTACATTGGGGTGGCTGAAAAGGGGGGTTCTGTCTGGGGCGGCATATATTCCAGTCCCAGTCCCAGCGCGCTGTGGGCCACTGAGGTCCACTGCCACTGGGAGTCCCGCGCCCTCAAGTCGTCGACCGCCAAGTGCCGCTGCTTGGCGGCACGACGCAGCAGCGGGGCCACGTCATGCAAGGCATCGGCAGAGGTTTCGAAGTGGTCCTGGATTCGCTTCCAGAAATCAAATAGAACATAATAGAACCATAGTGTGACCAAGAAATACTCCATATGGCAGACTCCCAGCATTTATGACCATATATTTATGACTACGGAAATCCAATAGAGCCATAAAAACATGCTGGGATGGCTGAACCGTCGGACGAACGAACACCCCGGGTGAAGGGTTCGGATCCGTTCGGCGAGTGCAGGAGTGCCAACCTTCTTCTTGCAATCGCCGATTCACCGCCCTCGCCACACGCCGCCCTGCAGTATTGGCAGTCTTCCCCCTGACAGGCAAATCCCCCATTGAAAGGCACTCGAAATCAAACGTCGCCGTTCTCTTTAAGGACGCCTCCACAATGGCGGCCGCTCCCAATCCAAGACCGGTGGATCTCGGGATGTAGGCGGCGTGTAGCTCAAATAGAGACCTCCCAGTCAACGACCTGGTGTGGGTTCGGAATACAGACCAGTCTACCGCCCCTGGCAGCCAGACTTGGTCTCCCGGATATCAAAAACATCAACTGGCAGACCTCTCGTAACATTGACAAAGGTCGAGTGATACATACCTGGACCCTCTAAGGGGTGCCCAATGAAAGCCTATAGGCAGTGTGGGGTAGTTCAGGACACCCCGAAAACGGAGGCTCCAGGTACATTGACCTATTGTGTATCGTCTCCCGGTCGGACATAGCGTCGGCAGATCCACCCCGTCGCGCCGCACGAGGCGCGGCAAGCGGCCAGCGGCCCGGGTCTCCCAACGCCGGGATCTACCTCGTAGGGCCACGTCCTCGTTCCGGCGCTGCTCGGTGCGTCGCGGGATGTATGTGGCGGGATGTCGTGGGGGTTGCAGGGGTCGCGGGATGTCGCGGTGAACACCGTTTGTGCTTAATTTGTGTTTTGGGGAGGGAGAGGTGTCACCGCGGCACACTTTCGGAGGTGTCCGTGATGCCAACGTGAGCAATCCAATACGGTGTCACCGTTCGGGAGGATGATGGATGTGAACTTCCGCCGTCGTCGTGATGATCTTTTTACAGTATGCACCTCGGTGAGACCCTTGAAGTATACCGGAAGGGCGTACCAGAGCTCGGTGTGCCCCTTCTCGCCACTTCCGCATCGCGCGGGACACGCGGACTCGTGGGACAGAGGTCGGGCCCGAGGGACTCCAAAAGCTGGTGGAATGCCCTAGGCTGAATCCCGAATCAACGACAAGGATTTTACACGACAAAAAACCAGGTCAGGCACCCATTTGTTGAATGGTCGAACGAAGTTCGTCTAGGGAATGGATGCAATCATCCCCAGCCACTTCCTGTCCGGGTGCGTCTGGAAACCTGTTTACGTAGGGTAGGGTAGTCTAGCCAGGACACCCAAACAGGATGATCCTGGTTTGAAGCACTTTGAAGCACCCAGGGCCGACTATTTTGAGCTGTTGACCATTGGCGGGGAAAAGACACATCAATGGATCATCATGATATATCCAAAAGTCTTGCAGTCGACTGCAGATTAGAAGAACTACTGATCAGCAGGCAGATCCTCAAGTTGCTTGTTGGCATTTAGTCTAGTTTGGTGTAAGCCAACTCCCAGCAGTGCACTTGCAAGTGCTGTTGCCAATGACATATCAAACAAACATGCTGAAATATGCTGAAGTGCACTTTCCCAGGGCTGAAGCCGTCCTGTTTCTTTCCATGTGACTTCTATATAACTTCCTGTCTCTTTCCACCCAAGTCGAGCTCAGCGAGTCCCAGAAAACACCTGCTATCGCCTCAACACGTGTCCTGTTCCCCACGAACCAATCACCCCGAAGCAATGGCGGTCATGGCGAACCTGTGTGTCGACCAGTTATTCGGGCACCTCCTACCACAGATCTGGTCGTTTGCGACGGCCTCACATGGTGATTGAACGACCCATCGTCCACCATGGAGGCCATTGCTAGTAGGTTGGAGGCCATCGCTACTCTAGAAGCTACCAACGAGTCGCTCCTGGCCATACTAGTAACAAGTATACTGGTGGGTTGGAGGCCATCGCTATGAGTGTTAGTCCAAGAGTCGGATCTTCTTCTTCCATGGGCACTGGACGACGGACCAACGACTCGCTCTGGCGTTGGTGTATAGCGGGTCTGTCCGAGAAGTAGAAGCAGAAACAACCATTGAAGTTGGTCTCAGTGAGCAGGCGCATTGCTACAACATGCATTGAAGTTCGAAGACCTCTTTACTATCCATGAACTTGCTCTCCATATTGAACATTGAAAAACATGGGATCGGTTGACTGTGATTGTCTGGCTTTCGAGCTCAAGCTCCGAACACTTCGGACACTTCGGAGCTTAGCACCGCGCGCACCGCACATCTTGCGGGTGGGTGACATTCGTATGCACTCTGGCCACTTGGCACACCAGGGTATGGATGATGAAATTGATCAGATTGACCAATCAATCGGCTCATTTTCTATCAAGAACGGGCTACCTCAGATTGTGATTGTCTAATTGTTACATAATTGGCCCCAAAGGAGCTGAATAGATTTGAGCCATATGGCGTGGAAGTCGAAGTCGGTTTTCACTGAAGACTTCATGTGCACTCGGTGAGAGGGTGTTTTTCAACACCGAAATCCTTCGAAACAAGTCCACCGTGGAGTTGAGAGGTCCACACTGTGGGAGCTGTAGGCTCTTGTTCTTTTTGAGGGGCAACAGCCTGCTGTTGAAACTTTCGTCTTGGATTCTTTTCGGGAATGTGAATGGTGGAGGAACGTGGCCTACCTTCTTCTCACCTATCATGGCACATTCACATCATGGCATTTTCTCGCATGAACGGCCAGAACGTTTTCACAGGACAGTCTGCGTGAAATGAGTGGTACTGGAGAGTTGTTGGGTACAGCCAAAGCCCCCAAATTCCGAAGATCAAACATCGACGATTGAATTGTTTCCCAGACGCTCCATGGGACTGGAATAATATGGAATAGTTATATCCCTACCTTGACCACGCCAATTGTATGTAAATATATATTAATGTAGATATTCCAGTCCCATGGAGCGTTTTGGGTTTCAATTCAGCTTCTTGGCCCAACAGGATCTTTCGGATTCACATCTAATATAGGTATTCTCAGGAATCCCGAGCGTGATAGTAAATCAGCCTGGTTTGGTATTTCTATCAACTTACTCATCTACTCGGTCGGATGATTCTTTGGACATGAACATGGCACCATATGGCACCTCTAGTGCGAACGGGCACTCGACCGGGCACTCTCCCGTCTTTTACACGGCGAATCAGTGGCATGTCCGGACCATCGGCGACCTCCCATTGTGGTTTCACATGGGGTGTCCACCGGGGCCGAAGCACGCAGGGTCCATCTCGGCACCGAAGATCAAGAAGATCGGAACGCTATGGAACGCTGGATTCATGCGGAACGCTTCGGTTCAAACATAGCCGATGAAGGGGTTTGGTTGTCAATGATTTGGTGGTTCCCCCAATAGGTAGAGGGATCCACTGATCCCACCTTTGGAGAAGGTGACATTGAACATTGGACTCACGTGGTGCCTATACACAACATGTGCCTCGAATTACCTGAAACAGGGGGTTATGGAAATCCATAGATCTGGTCTGCGAACCGACCCGACGATTGGCCGCTGGAGGTTTTTGCTTCACATGTTCGGGGACCAGACCCACTCCGAACAACTTCACCTAACTTGGTTGGCTGGGAGGGTAGGGACTGCTCTGAGGCTACAGCGTGTTGGAAGCTTGTGGCTTTGCAGACTGAAAGACTGGGAGGAAGCTCTAGCGTTGTTCCTGCGTGTGCTTGGGTCAGGTGTCTCTGGGAATTTGGAACACACATATGCAAGGCTCAAACATATAGACCTATGCTTGAGAACACCCCGGTTTTTGCGGGGTTTTGATGTGCCATTCGATGGATCGTGCGGCCATCCAAGCCGCCCCAAGCCGGCCGAGCAACGCATCCGTCTCTTCCACGCTGCTCGACGTGTGCTTTTGCCACGGCAGAGGGATTCACAGATGGCTCTGGATCATGGCATTAGGAAACCCGACCGGTTGACCTACCTGGTGGACGTTCGCCATTCGCGACAGTACAAACGACAAAGCCCCAAACAACCGCATCTGCCATGTGCATGCCATGTGCATGTGCGTGTCGCTTTTGCGTCCTTGGGCACACTCGACTGTAGATTCAAAAGGAGATTCGTCCACAAGCTCTAGGCAGCCGCTTGAGTCGCACCGGCCGCTTGGTCGCACGTCTCCTGGAATACTCATGGATGGCGCCCCTTGGATGGTGGTGCCATCCACTTCAATCATTACAAGGAGTGCTGTATACCCGTCACAGGTCGCTCGGGGTGCCGTTCCCGAACGGAAGTAGGACGTCGGTGCCCTTTCACATCACATCCACGACCCCGACGGATGAACCTAAAATCACCCCTCCATGTGACTCCTGGTATGGAGTATGGATGTTTTGGTCGAAACCACCAGTATATCCATGTGCCATCCTGTTTTTTAAATGTATCCCTACAAGTCAAAGACCTCCTTTTACTGGAGATGGTCATACAAAACCAATACTTAAGAAGGTAAAAGACCAGGTTTTACTGGGTCTTTGGACTTGTACGGTATGGATGTGTTGGTCGAAACCACCAGTATAAGGATTTGTGCCATCCAACGCGCCACCACGCCGCCACCACGGTGTTCCATGTTGGACCCATTCGGCAAATCCCTCGTTCCCGCAGACTTGGTGAAACGCCCAGATCGAAGAACCCACCGATGGCCATGACCTGCGTTGACCTCCTTGTTTTTGGTTGGACTTGATCAGCTGACATCCTAAGATCTCTGATTTTTACACGTTGTTTTTTTTATTTTAACATATCTATTTTTACAGGGGTCCATCCACTCTAACAATGACATATGTCAAGAATGCCAACCCACAGACCTGGCAGTCCCAACAACTCATTCATCCAAGGGCCTCAAGAAGCCACTTCAACACACACATCACTGATGCATCAGACACCTGGACCTTCATGTGTGAACTTCTCTGCATTCTGTCCATTCTTCTGGCGGGATCACTTGAGGCTTGAAAGGACCTCGGCTCTTCTCCTTCTCTCAGTACCTTCGCAAGGCTGGCCCACCTGGGCGCGGAGAGCGAGAAGAGCAACGAGCAGAGCGCGAGCAGAGTGCTGCTGAGCTTCGGCGTGATCCATCCTCACGTTCATCACCAGGGAAGCACAACCCCAAAAACGAGCTTCCTCGTGGAGGAATTCCATCTTCCATGGTGCATGGTACAGCTCCAGGTGTGCCATCTGATCACCAATCAAGGGAACAGCCTCAACAGGCTGTGGACACAAACGGCTTAGTTTGAGCTCTAACACGTGACTCTTGCAAAACCTCAGGCAACAAATTCCTGGAAGGACCTTTCAACCCCTGCCACGAGCCATATTACAGGGGATTTTGTCTCCTTCCTTCTGAAAAATGCACAACCTATCTGCTGGTTGGGGAGAAGGTGTAATTCAATGTAATTCAGATTTCCGATGACATGATATGGGTGCCGGGTGGCACCATTCCATCCGGGTGGACCGGGAGGCCACTGGGTGAGGGAGATTTGGCTGGGAGGCTGGGAGCGCCAAGAATGCGCCAAGCGCTCGATCGCTAAGGTAGGAGATGCAGAAAGAACATGTTGATCCCTGAAGAACAAAGGATCTATTGCTGATTACATGATAGGATTTGGTACATAAATGCTAGGATTTCTTATGTTGATCCCTGAAGAACCGAGTGGCATCAGACTTTTTACATAGGATTTCTCTTCCATTGACTTGCTCCACCCGCTGGCTCCTATGTCCAGCGACACTGAGTTGAGACGAGGACAAGACGTTCCCCCGCGCCCAAGGACGTCGTGTTTCGCGAAGGCCTCAAGCCCGCGCCACCTTGATCCGGAGCTCCTGGAGGGCAGGGCGGCTTCGCGCGGTTGGGCGAGAGGGAGTGCCATATACGGAGTCCGAGACGGCAGGAGTTCCCTTTTCTCAGAGAACTGAGATCAACGGAGAATTGAACCCCAAATAGTCCGAAATGGTCGACTGTGGTGGAAGGTCGTGGGAAAACTAAAGGGACCAGTAGCAACTATATAACAATATTACTGTGGACGTTGCAACATCTTCGGACTGAGCATCACTATGATCTGATGATTGTGGATGCTGTAAAACGGATCTCTTCTCGACCCTCGCGGAGGCGCAAGGACCCTCGGTTTGACTTTTTCCTGTGCTGTGGGTCGAAACGAAAGGAAGGGCGTTTCCCCGTGGCTGGCGGTGGCGCCTGATCTTTTTGGCATTCGTCCACGAGCCTCGCGACCTCCTCGCGGAAGCCGTTCACCTGGTCGAGACGTCCAGAGGTCCGGTGCCCCAGTGCGGCTGGTCCGGTCCGGGCCATGGGGTGAAGTTGGTTGGACCTCAACAGCAGGTGCCACGATCGCAGTCGGCACGATCGTACAAGCAATTTGGTGTAAGGCAGTGTAAGGTAAAACGCCGGTTTTTGGTGTGTTTGGCATTGTGTACCAGGCAACCATGCTGCAAAGTGCCGGGCGCTGTCTACCAGGAGTTGTTGCTCTCTTTGGGTGGGTATGGTTCACTGCAACTAGGGACAATTGGAGTTTCAAGCTCTGATTTCACCATGGACCGGGTATCTGTATCGGTTTGTTGCGATTCTCGGGAGGCCTGGTGTGACTGTGGGAAGGAAGTGAGTAAAAACAGGGCTTCACACCAAAGGTCCTAGGGAGGACCTTGTGATTGGCAGGATTGCCGGGGTTCTTGAGTAGAAATTTCTGGAAGACTCATGTACCTCTCCACATCTCTCCACTCCACTACTACTGACTTCAGCAGTTCTTCTTTCGACAATTCACTGGGTAGAACTAGAGTCACTAGAGTTTCTCAGCCCAAAAATCTGAGACAAGAAGCCTTGAAGCCAAACACTAGCTTGTAAAGCATGTACTCCTGGTGTTGTGCCTTGGGGGTGAGTAAATCCAAGCCCAATCCCTGTCCAACGAATTACCAGCAAAGTGGGGGTATACTATGTCACATCACCCAAAAGTACTAAACACCGAGAACATATTTTACGCAAGTTTGAGAAAAAGAACATCAAAACACCAAACTGCCGAATAGAACACGTCATTGATCTGCAGTTCACACTAAGCTTGCCCTGCAATAGCATCATCCTTTTTCTTCTGAGAAAGGTGCGATTCTGTGTTCAGCGTGGAGGATCAGTAGAGGTGAAGCGCTTGCGCTTCTCAGGTTGCACACCGGAAAGCCACACCAGTCAAAGCGGTGACTCGAGTGGTGGTGCCACTGATGCTTGTGAGTCTGCCTGACAGTTGAAAGTCCAAGGGTGGCGAGCAACCCTGAGACCAGAGCCAAAGCAACTGTACAAGATTGGCATCCAGTTTCACCACGACAAAATTCCAATGTTCCGATCAGCAAAACCGATGGACACGTTCGCAGATGCTGTGGGCCTCCAACAATCCTACTCATTAACATCCAAAGAGAGCAGGATGTGAATTGGATAGTCAGCTTAAGTGGTTGGAGGCACTGTTGGATCGTTGGGTTTTGGAGGCCGTGTCAGGTACCTAGGTACCTAACTCGGGTCCAGGTCAAACTCATGTGTGAGTTCCCAAGAAAGTTTCTTTCCTCATTCTTCAGACAAAACACTTTGTACGTCCCCAATCCAACAAACTGAGTTTGTGCCATTCTGGACCTCCCGTACAGTTCCTTGTTTCAGATCTTCTTCACCGTTTGCTCACCCACGCCATGCGGGATGGGCTGGGCACAGCATCTGGTTCTCGGCCGGACGCGCATCTCTCCGCCCTCAGCCACGCTGGAAAAGGCTGGACGGATAGGTCTTTTGCACATTCCTCGGCGCGTCGTTCGCGTCGTTCGTGTCGTTCGTGTCGCCACGTCCGCGGAGCCACGTGCGGAGCTGGGGAGGAGGTGGAAGGAATTCGGTGGAACAGGTGAGGTGTCGGACGGCAGCTTTTTCCTTTCGAAATTATACCATCCAAACGTGGGATAGCTCGGAACCGTTCCCTTTTTTAAAGGGAAAGATGCCCAAACACTCCATATATGGCAGCATAGGCAGCATACCTTGGAGTGTTTGGGATGGACACCTCCGCTGACCCGGAAAGTCGTTCCCTCCTCCCGCACCATTTCGCACCCAGCTGGTGGAAACAGAAAGCGAACCGTCGGAAAACTCCCGCAAGAACATGTTTTCAAGACCCGGCAATATCATGGTCACCCGGAAAGAAATCCCCTTCCGCACGACGGAAGCAAACAAAACACGGTGTTTCACCCTCACGGGGCTGATACGATCGCACCAAAAACAACTTCATCAGCCCCCCCACAAAGCGCAAAGGGCATCGCTACGAACGGAGCAAGGACGCTACTAGGGGCGCTCCTGGCCTTACTACTATAGGACCTAGGAACCAGAACGCTACACGATATAACTCTGTATATAGTTATAAATAGTTATAATGGCAGTCTCTTCTTTTGTCTCGATCTCCGTTTTTGCCACCACCCCCGGCACGTTCCAACGCCGCCCTACGTCGTACGTCCTTCGCCCAAGGCACCGCCACGTGGCGTCCATGGCCTCCTGCGCTGCGTCGTCTCCCGTGGTCAAGCGCCGGATGAGCTCCTCCAAGCGGCGGAAGGCCTCGGTGTTCACCTCGGGGTCGCTCGGGGTCGGTGAGAAGGTCCCCACGGAGCGTTCGGAGTCTCCCAGTCTCCCCACTGGTGAAAGTGGATGGCTTCTGGAAAGGAAGGACGACTCTGTTTTAGAAGGTGAACGCCACTTCGATGTTACCAGTAAGTGAGTGGGGGGGGTGTACTGGATATATGCTGTACGATGTTCATGCCATGGGTGGTGTGGCAGCCCTGTGGGTTGGTGGGCAAGGTGTGAAGAAGAGCTGGGAGTGTGGTGAATGGACACCCCTTAATCTTCCACACACTGCGGCTATTCATGGACCCATGGAGGGGCCTCGTTCGGACCGGTTGGAGGGGCCTCGTTCGGCCGGTGCTTGGGGGCTCGGACCGACCTCTCGGCTCGAAACCCGGTTTCGATGGGATCGATGTGGTTTGTTTCCGCAGTTCAACTGGCATCGAGCAGACTCCAACGACGAAACTGAACTGCTCCACCTGGCAGTCATAATCCACCACTCACGTTCGGTAAACTGAGTCATGACTGGACTCTCAGGCAGTCTCAGGCAAAGACTGAACATGCGGGGGTTTTCACATGCGGCGCTTAGGCACCGGGTGAGGCTGCAACCGCCCATCGGCCACCTTCGGGTAAAGCTCAGCCGGATCAGGATGCCGATAATCCGACTCCTTCAGCTGCAGGAAAAACCGTCTGGTCACTGGTTCGCCTACTTCAATACCTGTGAACGTGCATGAACGGACTACCATGTGTCCTTTTCTCCAAATGTTTGCTTCATGTTGTTTCTTTGTTTTGCAAAAGAACTGATTATAGGATATTATAGGTGTTTCCATGGTAACTACCCCTTTTTGATCTATAATGTGTCTTTTTGACGCCTTTTGGTGTTGACCATGCCGCCTTTCCCGCTCGTTCACATCTGCTGAGCTCCAGTCCTTCAGTTTGGCAAGCTCTTTCACCTCAGCGGCAAACCCCGACGAAGCCAGGGCAGTTCAAGGGTCGAATGTCATGCAAGCCTCCAATGCTTGGAGCTGGTCTGGGGGTGGGTAGGCCGAGAACATCAGGCGAATGGGCAGGACCTGAAGACCGAAAGGGGATCCCCGGGCGCGCACCGGCGCAAACCGTGCAACGAGGATTGCACCGGGCCCAGTGTAATCAGAGCTCCGACAGGGCGCCAAAAGGCATGGCAAGGATTGAGGCCTGATGGCGAAGAATCACAATGCATTCTGCACGACATCCGTAGTGACTCGACGTCTGGTGCGGAGCGGGCAGTGGACCGCGTGCAGGATGTGGGTGTGGCAAATGGATGCCTTGGGCGGCGCAATTTCCTTGGCCGTGTTTGGGTGGGACACGGTGGGGCTCTTGATGGTGGCGGGTGGAGCACTTCCACTCACCTGGGCCTCGGCCGGCCTCGGCAAGGCTCTTGATCAATGCCTTGGCGACTGCACTGATGAGTCCTCTAAGGCTCTAAGGGAGATGTAGCGATTCGACATGCTGTCGCGGATGTGAAGGGTCGATGTAGCCGATGAGCCAGGTAGTAACTGGTGTCCAATGGAAAGGAACAACAGGGTGAGACTTCTCAGCTATAGTCGCTTGCCTATGTTGATGAAATCTTCATCCGAGTAGTTGTTCGAGTACCGCAGATTGTGTGGCACATAGTTCCAAGCTCTATGTCCTAACAAATGGGATTGGGGTCGAAGGAAATAGCTGCAGTCTCATCCACTCGTCACTCCAGTACGCATGGCCAGGGCATTGCACGCACGCCGGTATGGCTTTCCGATATGTACAAGCAGGGCTTTGTGGTGGTTGGTTGGACGACACCTTTGTCGAAAGGATGACGCCAAGTATCATTCCCAAACGCTCCATGTATGGATTATTTAGATACATTGGGGTGGTTGAAAAGGGGGCAAAAGGGGTCAATGTAGGCATATATTCCTGTCCCATGGAGCGTCTGGTGTTCCCCTCTTGGCTGCTGTACTCTTTTGAACAGATTCTTGGTGCTGTCAAGGCCACCAAGTCAAGAACGTCTTGATGTGGTTGCTTCCCTTTTTCACCAATTCCTTGCATCTCTGTGTAAGAAGACAACGGCGTGTTGATTCTCAGATCGGCTTGGAAGTCCATGTGACTCGTTCTATAACCCACTTCCAAGTAGTGGATCCTGGCTACCAGGTGGGCTCTTTCAGTCCAAAACGGGAACTTCAAGGAACGAATCGTGAACTTCAGCTCCCCAACCGAAGACGATTGGACACCGCGGCGTGACCGATTCTCTTCGTTGCGCTGGACCGACCTCGGCTGCCCAATCGCCAAGTGGCATCCACCCACATGGCGCCCACACTCTCCCAGTCCGGCACACTCTTTGGCTCTGCCGCAGCATCCTCACGCCAGAAGGTCGGGCAGGTGTGTGTTTTTGTTGTTTTCTGGTGGAAAAAGGCTCACTGCTCTCCCATGTGTGGTGCTGTTTTGACCAGGTCAGTGAAGCTCCTCTGGCCACGTCCCACACACACCAGCTCTTGCTGTTCCACATGTGGTTCCCTCAACTTATCCTCGTGTGGTAGGGATCTTCACAGAGCTCCAGACTGTTTGCAGATGGCACCCGGACCAACACTGCCACAAAAAGTCTTGCTCCAACACAGCTTCGGCGGGGTCGCTCACGGCTGAAAGCTGCTGAATCCCCGGTT